CCTCATGTCATTTCAAACCCATAAGAGTTTGGTTTATCTTCAAAACACAAATTAAGATATATTAATGAAAAGTGGGTAATTTCTCTCCTTCCACTAAAAAGTCCATTCCACCAAAATTTTGATACTTCAAAAAGTTAATAGACATCTTAATAGTCATCCATGTGACGTGCATGGTTTACTCAAATTCAAGTCAAGACTTCATATGCATTTCCATAGTGCTTTATACAATACTGGCTGTTTCAAAGCAGATTCATAGTAATAAACAGGAAGATAATGGTGGTAGTGTTGTGAAGAGCAGAAGACAGTAGTATTATTATTCAGATCAATTTGATTCAGTGTTGATTCAGTTAGTTCATTCTCAATGTCAATGTTGCAATGTTCATCAGTTATGAAAAGTTATAGTTGACTGTAGAGGTCAATCGTGTCAGTACAGCCAAATCAAAGATATTACCGAATATTAAGAGTCTTTTAAACCAAGTCTATAAACATCCTTTATGAACAGATTTAATTTAGGCTTTTATTCACATATAAACATTGATGAATTAACACACATAATGCTTGTCAAATATGGTAAATGGAAGCTCAAAAATATTTGCTTGATGCCCAAAACCAATGAGGTTTGTTCTCGCCAAAACACGGTTGAGCTTCCATTTACCATGTTTGATGTACATTGATCAATGCTTATATATGAATAAAAACCTAAACTTGAGCTTTTTGTAGCATCAACATTTTGGTATAATGGACTTTTTAATGAAGGGAGAGAAATCTCTCGGGTTTCATTAAAAATGTCTTCAGTTTTGGTTCAAAATTCTTATGAGTTTTGAATGACATGAGGGTGAGTAAATGATGACAGAATTTCCATTTTTGGGTGAATTATCCCTTTAACATAACGCTTTTTGGTTATTATACTATATAGTATGCATGATCAGACAGGTTTCCCAAACACCTCAAGGAATGAATGCAATAACACCAAAAATATGACATTAATTGCATTAATGCTAGCTTTGTACTTCTGGCGATTGTAATTAGGCTTCAAAAAAATCATAAAGTTGCCTTCTTTTGTGACGATCGTCTTGATGAACTAAATGTGTAAGAATCATAATTATTTGTTGATCAGAGCTTATTTTCTGCAATGCACATTTATGTTCATTAATATACCAATTGATGATTATTGTTTAAATTATCATTCATTAAAGGGTTAGTTCACCCAAAAATAAAGATTCTGTCATTAATTCCTCACCCTCATGTCGTTTCAAACCCGTAAGACCTTCGTTCATCTTCGGAACACAAATTAAGATATTTTAGATGGAATCTGAGAGCTGTCTGACCCTGCATAGACAGCAATACAACTGAAATGTTCCCAAGTCCAGAGACCTAGCAAGGAGATCGGTAAAATAATCCATGTGACATCAGGGGTTCAACCGTAATTTTACGAAGCTACGAGAATAATTTTTGTGCGCAAAAAAAAAAAAAAAAAAAGACTTTACAGCATATGCTGTTTACGTCCAGCTGATACTCTCCAAAATGGCACCAGGGTGACGCGGAGGAGACGAATAGTTGAATAAAGTCGTTTTTCTTTTGCGCACAAAAATTATTCTCGTAGCTTCGAAAAATTACGGTTGAAACCCCTGATGTCACATGGATTATTTTACCGATCTCCTTGCTAGGTCTCTGGACTTGGGAACATTTCAGTTGTATTGCTGTCTATGCAGGGTCAGACAGCTCTCAGATTCCATCAAAAACATCTTAATTTGTGTTCTGAAGATGAACGAAGGTCTTACGGGTTTGAAACGACATAAAGGTGAGTAATTAATGACAGAATTTTAATTTTTGGGTGAACTAACCCTTTAAGACAACTGGTTTTGGTGTTGCTGCGTCTTTGTATGCGTATACTATGCATACTGCATTTTGCACAAGTAGTACGAGTATGCAATTCTGAATACTTGTGTCTACATGTGACATCCTTCTATTATTTCAAAATGACAGTGAAATGTTGAATCACAGACCCCAGGTGAACCAAACTGTGTGTGTTTAAGACATTGTGAGAATGCTGATGAAAGAGGGAGAGGAAAATAGAAAAAGCAGCTGTTAATGCATCAGCAGAAATGTGTCATCATTATGAAAGGTGGGGGCTGAGGAGAGATTTGACAAAAAGCGAAGTGCAATACAACATGATGGGTCAGCCAGTCAGCCTGTTACCATGGAGACGCAGGAGTGGGTGGGAGGAATGCTTTCGTACACCAAACACTTTGCTGACCGTGTCTCTGCATGTGGTGTTGTATATACACACATGCTCCGCTGCTCCTGGGTCACATTGCCTCTGTTTCAAAACCCACTGAGATGCCTACATAGACAGCTTTATTATGGCGTTATGGTTGTTCTCCCAATGTGGAGACTGTTAAATAAATTCTAAAACAGCAATGCATGTATCATTTGTGAAGTCAATCCATAGTGCATTGTGGTATTAAGTATAACATTTAATTTAATACAAAATATTGATAGAAATAGTTCAATGCAATTAAAATTCACTCTACTGACCCAATCTATATTTTTATGCTTATTTAACCATTAGCTTTGTAATATGCTTACAACAAACTACTGAAATCAAATGTGAGTTGAATGAACTGTGCGGTTTGTGTGCGGAATGCTATTTGTTTGATGCTGAGCTGCATTACCATTCAAAAGTTTGAAAGAAATCAATACTTTTATTCAACAAGGACCCATTCAATTGATCAAAAGTGACAGTAAAGGCATTTATAATGTTACAAAAGATTTCTATTTCAAATATATGTTATTTTGATCTTTGTATTCATCAGAGAATCCATGAATTTTTTTTTGTATGTATGGTGGTTTCCACAAAAATATTAAGCAACAAAAAGTGTTTTCAACATTGATCATAAGAAATGTTTCTTGAGCAGCAAATTAGCATATTAGAATGATTTCTGAAGGATCATGTGAAACTGAAGACTGGAGTAATGATGCTGAAAGTTCAGCTTTGCATCACAGGAATAAATTACATTTTTAAATATATTTAAATAGAAAATAGTTCCTTTAAAATTTTAATAATTTTTCACAATATTACTGTTTTACTCTATTTTGCAGCCTTTTGAAAAACTTCTTTCAAAAACATTAAAAACACTTACTGATCCCAAACTTAAAAACGGTATTGGATGACAATCTATTAGGATGATCCCTTAAAAGACAGCTGCCTATGCATGTAGTATACAGCAGGACATCTAACTAGGTTTTGGAAAAAAGTCCATCAGAGTTTGGTTTTCTTGTATTTGTGTTTATACCGTTCACCCCATGCTTAATTTTGTTTCGAGGCATTGGCCTTACAACCCACATGACCCTGACAGACGTCATGTGTGGAACACAGTGACATGTGTCAGCTTATCAGCAAAACAAGCCACTTCCTCCATTTCAGGACAAATGGCCACTGTGGTGAAGAGTTTTGCAGATCAGGATGCTCATGTCCTTTTTCAGCTGAGAGAGAGAGCATGCGTAGTGTGTCTTTGTGTGCTGACAGGAGGATTACAGTGAAAGTCAGATTAAATCTCAGTAGTCCAAAATGTGACACCTGCCCCTGCGGTGTCCTTGTAATGACAGAGTGTGAAAAGGCCTAAATGCTTTTGGCCTGGGTCCCATCGCTTCTTCATTTGCATACAAGCAATCAAACTGGGCAGCTGGGAGGCATGTTTAAACAGCCACAATTTTACATCGAGGGACATTTCAGCCCCTACTTTTTGGTGCCATTTTACCAATCTCTGCTCTTTCAGGTAGGACTAGTGGGTACATGTCAGTGTAATTCTTATTCATGAACCAAGCTAATAGGTTTATGTGTTCCCCCGCTCTTCAGGTTGTTCCTATGCCTCTGGATTATTATGTTCATGAATTATCACTTCAATTTCAATTTCATGTTTTTTTTTCTCCAGGTCTTTTTCTCACATAAAGCTAGAGTGATTCATGAATGAGTCTCAAAACCTTTAAATGATTTAGCATTTTTGGTAGTTTTTTTTTTAATGCCTGAAATAAGGTCTTTGATTAACACAAACTCAAATATTTTCATATTTTCTCACATAATGCATGCTATATTTTCATGCTCTTGCCAAACTATTTTAACTCAAACTTCGTGTTTAAATAAAGATTGTAAGATTTGGCCCACAAAATATGCCATCACTGCAGCTCTCTATTGTATGACTTTAGAAGAGTTGTGGACACAAGTTATATTGACTAACTTTTATGGTACCTTTTATGGTAGCTTTTTGTAATTTTTGGAGTTTGGCAGTGTAACTCATCCATTTCAGTGTGAAAATGAGCAGCATGGGCATTCTGCAAAATATCTTCTTTTTTTTTTGCGATGAAGGTTTTGAATGCCACACGAGGAATAATATACTTGATCAATATAATTAAATTATTTTTTCATCAATATTCATTAATATACAGCTCCTTTGCATTCCCTCACATTTCCTGAATTGACTTTGTATGTTATGAAACCTTTAGTTAACCTGCGTTATTCTCTCATCAGCTGTCATTAGCTTGCGATAGTTTCTTCCTTCATAAAGCAAAGAGAGAATGTAGTGTAATTTTCCGTAATTGTTGTCAGGATTGTTTTTTTTTTAAATCTGGTGTTTTAATCTTTTTATTTATGAAGTTGGCAAATTTTCACATTTTCTGTGGATTAACTTGCACAAATTAATTGTTCACCTCAAGACCAGTAATGTCCACTAACAAAGTAAATAGAGTACATTTTGATGTCGTGCAGACGTTAAAGAAAAAGTCTACAATTTTAGGCATAAATGGGAAAAATGTATCCTATGGAAGGATTGTTTTGGGAAAACGTTTGAAAACATTTTTGATTTGGATCTGTTTGTGCGCTAAAGGCACATAATTGACACACTTCACCTTTAAACATAGTCATTTACTCTTTATACACTGATGTCTGAGGTTTGAAGTTCATCAGCAGAGTTTGATACTAAATGTCTGTTTGTGCACCCCAGGTGGCTCCCCGTTGAGTGAGCTGTCATGGCCGTCCTCTCTGGCAGTGGTTGCTGTCTCCTTCTCCGGCCTCTTCACATTTGTCTTCCTCATGCTAGCCTGCCTGTGCTGCAAGAAAGGGGACATCAGCTTCAAGGTGAGATCTCAGTCCTCATTAGTCATTTCATCCATCAAAATGGCCCTCCAAATTAAAGGAAGATGAGAAATTAATGTCTTCTTCAGTGCCTCATTCTAATTTTTTATAGGCACGTCACTCAGCAACCTATTATCATTTTGTTTGATGTCACCTTGTTTTTTTTTCCAGAAGTACATCATGTCGTTCAGCCTGTTAGATTTGATTTGTCTTTCTAGTCATGTACGCATGTACCAACACAGCCTCACAACGAAAACGTCAATCTTCAGCACTTTTTCTCTGTGCAAAACACAAATGTCTTTGTGTTCCTTTTTACCTCATTTCAAGGATTAAAGCTTTCCTTTTATTCTGCCCATTTTTTGTTCTATCTACTTCAGAACTGTGCATTCTTCAAACACGTGATAACCTGAAGACAAATGAGATTTATGAAACAATCTATGAAACTGAAGCATCATAGCACAATTAGGCAGACTATTGACTGTTTTTTAAAGACAGGATCCTGTCTCCTAATATTTCTTGCTCAACATCTCGAGCAGTATTGCATGAATGCTTTGTGGAGATGGAGTCTCAGCAAAGATAAATCCAAGATCGCAGACAAAGCAGGAGAAATAATTATAAATCTAGTTGTAAGTCATGCAATTCTCAGAAGTATTGAGAAGTACATGCTAATTACACTATACTGATATTGTCGATGCACTGATTTCAAAATTCTGGACAATATCTATAAGCCCGTAATTACTTTGATGCTTTGGCAGATATTAAAATTAGAAACTATTTTGTAAAACAACAATTGCTAATTTTAAATGCTACGAATAAATTTAGGCATCACAATGAAAATTGATTAATATTGGAATTTGCTACATTTAACACTTATTTATTGTAGTATTTTCAAAGATAAATGGTAAGTGTTAGATGACACAAAAGTATAAAAAATTGAGAAAATAATTATGTACAATTCCTTATCACCCAGTGTACACCACTTTAAAGGGGTCATATGAAGCTGCTAAAAAGAACATTTTGTGTATTTGGTGTAATGAAATGTGTTTATGCGGTTTAAGGTAAAAAAAAAAACATTATTTTCCAAATACTGTACATTATTGTCACTCCTCTATGCCCTGCCTTTCTGAAACATGTCGATTTTTACAAAGCTCATCGGTCTGAAAAGCGAGGTGTGCTGTGATTGGCCAGCTATCCAGTGCGTTGTGACTGGCCGAATACCTCAAGCGTGTGACGGAAATGTTACGCCCCTCACCATACTGTGATGCCCTGTCCGGCCGGAGCGACGAGACAAAAACATGAAAACCCATTATAAATGAGGCATTTGTTGCATCCAGTGTGGACATAATTATGGATTATAATGACTTACACTGTATTTTTACGCATTGCATCGCACCGCGTAAACATAAAACCATGTCTGCATTTGTGATCGGAGAAATGACAAACAACAAGCGCTACTCTTCAAACTTCAAACTCGCATTTGAATCGTCAGTGGCAAATTCTTTATATATAAAAAACTTACTTACAGTCTGTGAGTCAGAACAGCCGGCATTATAGTCTACTCTACCAGGATCAGGAAACAGTCCTCCATAAAATGTGCTGCACACATCTGAATATTTGTTTTGAACTGTTCTGAAACAGTGTTGTAAATACAACTTAACCACTGATTTCTAGTCGTGTCCTCTTTTGGAAGACCAAACAAAGTAGTTTCGCTTTCACAACGAAACTCAGCATCTTCACGACATGGCGGCAGCAACAATACTACAGCAAGAATAAAAGTTACGCCTTCTTTATTTGCGTGAACATTTGGGCGGTGTTATGCAAATCTTCCCACATTGTGACATAGACATGTGGGAGCGTGTTAGAACGAGCAGTTTTAGGTAGGTGCGGCTGACTCTTAACTTTTATAAAGAATATCTCTTTGGATTTGCGACTTTAGTCTTTGCAACTTTACAGATCTTCTTTATGCACCAAGAGCTTGTAACACTCCAAAGAGAAAGGAAAAATTTAAATCGCATCATATGACCCCTTTAAGAATCTTTTTTTTTTTAAAGAAATTAATACGTTTATTAGGCAAGAACAGATTAACTTGTTCAAATGTTACTAACATTTGTAATGTAACAAAATTATTTTATTTCAAATAAATGCTTTTGAAGTTTCATCAAATAATCCTGAAAAAGTATCTTGGTTTCCACAAAAATATTAAACAGCACAGCTGTTTTCAACATTGATAATAAGAAATTAATTTTTTTAGCAGCAAATCATCATATCAGAATGATTTCTGAAGGATCACGTGACACTGAAGACTGGAGTAATGATGCTGAAAATTCAGCTTTACTATCATAGGAATACATTTTTATATAGGTACTGTACATTCAAACAGAAAACTGTGATTTTGAATTGTATTGATATTTCACAATATTACAGTTTTACTCTGTTTTTAATAAAATAAATGCAGCCTTGCTGAGCATCAGAAACTTATTTCCAAAACTAAAACATTTTTTAAAATACTGATCCCAAAATGTTGAACTGTAGTGTATTTACAGTATACGGATACAAATTAATAATAAAAAACTTGATATGTTGCTGATACATTGTGCATCGCAATATATTTATGTTCTTTAGAGTGCTTCAATTTTAGCTTAGCAACATGCTATTTCTACATAGAGTTCTGAATTTCAGATGTCACCAAAATGCGTGGCATTCATTACAGTCAGGATGCTGCATTATAGGACAGCTGCCCATGTAGGCATCGGTGCAGCTCACTAGGTTTAGGAACAGAGCCATTGCATTTCTTTGTGAAGTATGGTACTTCCAACCCAGCACGGCTCTGATGCATGGGGTGATTCTGCTCAGGTGGATGAAGCCTCTGCCTAATAGACAGGTTTTGCTCAGCAAAAACAAAAATGAGAGGGAACATGGAGATTTGACAGAGAATATGAACAGACGGGGACAGAGTTGTTATTAGATTTGGTTTGGCCCACACAGTTGAGGATTAATGTATCAGAATAAGCGGCTGTTTATGTCCACATGCACTGCGGCAGTGGGAGAATGGCACATCATAGGACGCGTCGCAGCTCACAGCTACAGACCCTTAAAATGCTGCCTATAATGTCGTGTGTCTGGACTGTGTGTTTTTAATAGGATTGTCTGCTCTAAGTGACTGTGTGAGTGGGTGGATGGTTTGTCCATGTCTGTCCCACACTGGTCTGACTGTGAACGTGCTTCTAGTCCAGGAAGTCTCAGTGGCACAGATAATTAGCATGGCATTTGGTGTTCTGTGGAAATCACAGGTTGCCACCCTGTGGAAAGTCTGTCTGTATTTGTATGGCCGTTCAGACAGAACGCAAGCTGACCTGTTATAGACTGACCTGGAGGAAGGCAATGGAAAACATGGTCCTCGGTGGGATGAATAATAGCAAATTAGAGATTATGATGTTAATAATAATAATAATTCATTACATTTATATAGCACTTTTCTAAGCTAATCTCCTCATCCACCACCAGTGTGCAGCATCCACCTGGATGATGCGACGGCAGCCATAGTGCGCCAGAACGCCCACCACACACCAGCTTATTGGTGAAGAGAAGACAGAATGATGAAGCCATTTACTATATGGGGATGATTAAGAGGCCATGATGGTCAGAGGGCAATGGGATTTTTAATGACCACAGAGAGTCAGGACCTCAGTTTAACGTCTCATCCGAAGGATGGTGCTTTTTGACAGTATGGTGTCCCCATCACTATACTGGGGTGCTAGGACCCACACAGACCACAGGGTGAACACCCCCTGCTGGCCTCATTAGCACCTCTTCCAGCAGCAACCTAGTTTTCCCAGGAGGTCTCTCATTCAGGTACTGACCAGGCTCAACCCTGCTTAGCTTCAGTGGGCGACCAGGCGAGAGCTGCAGAGTGATAGCTGCTGGCATATATGCTGCATATATTAAATATATGTTCATTGTTGTGTACATTTTCTAGACTTACTTGCTCTTTCTAAATCATTAAGCCATAGCACAAGCCTGTAACATAGTAATTGCCTACATGAAGAATGTACATTAATACATTATAAGCATAATAATATAATATATTATATATAATAAATAATATAATATACATTTACATTACATTTAGTCATTTAGCAGACGCTTTTATCCAAAGCGACTTACAAATGAGGACAGTGTAATGTAGCGAATCAGCTCATGGGGAAATATGAATAATTAACCATAACTAGTTATAATTAACTATTCATATTTTAGATCCACTGTAGATATTTAGCTGACCACTCAGGGTCAACTGTCTTGTTCTCTCATTCAGGTACTGACCAGGCTCAACCCTGCTTAGCTTCAGTGGGCGACCAGGCGAGAGCTGCAGAGTGATAGCTGCTGGCATATATGCTGCATATATTAAATATATGTTCATTGTTGTGTACATTTTCTAGACTTACTTGCTCTTTCTAAATCATTAAGCCATAGCACAAGCCTGTAACATAGTAATTGCCTACATGAAGAATGTACATTAATACATTATAAGCATAATAATATAATATATTATATATAATAAATAATATAATATACATTTACATTACATTTAGTCATTTAGCAGACGCTTTTATCCAAAGCGACTTACAAATGAGGACAGTGTAATGTAGCGAATCAGCTCATGGGGAAATATGAATAATTAACCATAACTAGTTATAATTAACTATTCATATTTTAGATCCACTGTAGATATTTAGCTGACCACTCAGGGTCAACTGTCTTGTCAATTCTAAGAACGTTAATTTCCTGGTTAAAGGAAATAACTTTCTTACTGTACAATTCTATAAGCTTGTAACGTAAATCTGCATGATTATTGACTCCGGTTATGAGCAAACAATGAACACGTCAAGTGTGATACAAGTAAGGTTTTATTAACTACACAAACACTTAAACTAGTCTAACATACAACATAAACACATTAAGCCATTCTAACAAAGTGCTATAACAAGTCTCAGTTAGCTTAACGC